GGCAAACAAGTATGGAAGCAGTGACTAGAACCATCAATGGGCAGTAGATGCTAATGTTTTCAATAAGTGTTTACTTAAGGAAGTAGGACTTAACTGTCTACCCATCTTTCAACTCCCATTTGCCTTCTATCTGATCTCTTTTTGACAATTCTCACCTTTCACCATAAAGACAAAGGGAAATAACATTAACTATAGATGGGAAGGAATTCTGTCTGCCACACTGTTCACAAGCAACTGTGCACATTATATTGTTTCATCACCCAAGCACTAACCATTATGAAATTAAACCTAGAGTAATCTTCACTAATCCGCTTATGGTGGATTGTACAACAAATAATAAATTAAGTGACCGAAGGAAAATGCCAGAAACACACACAAAATATGTAAGAAAATATCAGAATATGAAGCAAACCTAGCCCATTTGATGTACTTACCACAAATAATCCTAGTGCACGTATTATGATGAAAATCATGCGTGAATAGTTGATGCATAGCTAAAGGCATTGCACAGTAAAAGCATATGAGATATATTGCATCATACACTAACCTGTCAACAAAGCTAGTGGATGTTGATATGACATAGTCGTAAGTGTAGCTGAAATTGTACAGAGGTATGCAGCTGAGAAGAGATCAAGTAACTGAAGATCATTAGATATAGAAGTACCAGAAACGATCAACCAATTTGTTGCATAATAACTTCAAAAGAAGTGTGGTTTTTTGCATCATGATGGTACAAGACTGACTTCTTTCTGTTTAAAAAAGGCTTACATTTGCTAGATCATTCTCACCTGTCTGACAGAAAAATAAACCGTTCGTTAAATGGATCTTTAAGTGCATGTCTAAGCAATATACGCTCAGCCTCGATCATGCTTGCTTCACCCCAATCTACCTGGAATACTTGTTTGTGTTAACTAAATATCACATTCGAACAATAGGATGACGGGGGTTTATTTTGCTGAATAAAACAACAAAAATTCATGTCTTACATAATTTAGTTCACAAGTTGTTTATTTTGGTTTTACCAAGTAAATACACTGGAGTACCCTAACTTGCTCTAACAGACTAAGTTCCGTTCATTGTACTGGTTAGAGGTTAAACCCTTGAGCATGGTGAAGCAGAGCAGGGACAAGCAATTTACAAAAAATGTGATTGTGCATAATCCCTCGTTGATGATGCAGTCAGCATATTAATTAAGTGGCATCAATGAGCATCAATCACACATCATGCACAACAAGCACATGCAGGTGAATATGTGCAGCACACCAGCACCAAATAAATTTTGTTGACAAAGAAAATCTTCATGATAGGAAGCGACCTGTATACTATCGTTAAGTTGACGATTGAGAAAATAGACGGATCTTGTTGTTGCCTTGTTAAGCAGAAATCCAGGCCTAGAGTGAACAAACACTGAAAATCTACTCTCCTCTCCCTGCAAGACAACATTATCAATACTCCTCTACTGCTAGGAATGCTATAAGCACAAATAACCTCTCTTTTTAATGTGCATATTATATGGTACCATGAAAATTAAAAGGTTAAAACAGCAGAGCACTGATTTTGAATGTTCTCAAGAGGATTAAACAAACTTGCAAGTTGTGCCAACCTATATAACTAGCTTACTGCAGCCACTAGTTATTAGTAGCAGGGGATAATGCAAGTAGCCAACAATTTCATTGGAGAAAAAATGCCCGATGACAACTTTATACCTTGTCATTATATAGGACCTTCAGCCTTCTGCTCTTCTACCAAAACAAACTATAGAAAAATTATCCGTGTCAGTTTTTGCATACAATGCAATCGACGCGATCAAGTTCCCCAATAAGGAATCATACACGATTCACTTTGCCTCCTCGTCTTTCTATTCGGTTGCAGTACAATCATGTTTACCAACAAAAGGCCACAATAACTACAGCTACAGCAACTAATGAAGAAAAATTGACTGTAAAATAATCAGAATCACGACTAAGATCAAGCTGAACTAACTATAGCCTCAATTGCAATTAGATAGTCAGATTTAAAGCGACATACCTCGAAGAAAGAGTGCCAAACCATGTCGAGAGGAAGTCGATTTCTCGCGATGAACAGGAACGCGATTTTCGGATTTTGAACGAAATGAGGCCGCAGAGACGATATCGAAGTAACGACTCCATTGTACCACGCCTGCATCAACAGCAAACTCACGAAGAAAAAACCGAACAAGAACAGAACGAAAATCCTCCTCTGCCATTGATACTGAGACTTCTGCTGCGTTACCTTCCTCTTCATTTAGCTACACGCTACTTCACTTCGATTTCTCCACCATTTCAAGCTCGACAACTTGAGCTTCTGAACTGTTTCCAAAATTAGAAAAAAAAAACAAAAAAGATTATCACACAAAGCCATAATACATGGATCCCTCTCTGACACAAAGTACACTTACTTAACCTCCTTCCTCCAACAAAAATATTCAAAGATTCAGATAAGAGAACCGGAGTAGATCCATAAGCACGAAAATCCTGTACTCAAATTCTGTGCAATTCACGCGAATTTTCCGAAAAAGATTGCATCAGCGAAGTGCTAACCGGTGAGTGAGGACGAGAAGATCGTGAACCAGTAATGGCGATTGACAGAGAGAGAATCACGTGGAGTTTGATTTCTTCGAGGAGACTGGAGAGTCGAAATTGAATTGAATACAGAAGAGAGAGAGAGAGAGAGAGAGAGAGAGAGAGAGAGAAATGAAAACTGAAATGAGAGTGAGTGGAGTTTGTAGTATAAATAGTTGGGTAGTGAGGCGTGGGCTTTTCGCCTTTTTGCTGTCTGGGTGGCGTAAAGCGAGGGTGTTTTTCCTTCTAGTTGCTTGCGATGCAGGGGAACATATCACTCTTTATTGCAGCGGTGACTGCCAAGAATCAAGAAAGTGCTCTATGCTTTTATAAGTAAATAAGTGCTTTATTAAATAGAGCACTATAGATTTTTGTTCCTTATCGTTGTTTTTTTTTAAAAAAAAAACAAAATTACATTCTTAAGATTAGGAATTTATTGTTCAATTGATTTTTAATTTAGTCCTCACTTTATTTTGAGTTAAAGTCTGACATAAATTGGTAAGCGTTTCGACTATTATAATTTATGAGTTTAAAAAGTATTATTAAAATAGTTATTAACTAAAAACGTTTTACTCAAAAATTATTTAGTATTCGTAAATAAAATTGTATAAAATGCTGTTATTTAAAAAAATATAAATTATATATTTAGTGAAAATAATTTTTTAAATTTTTGAATGTAAATTTTTAATAAAATCTAAATTTATTTTCTAAAAACTACAAAATTTAAATTTATCAAAAGTAAATTTTAATTTTATCTCTTATCAAGAGTAATTTAGGTTTTACTTATTTAATTATAAAATATTTTATTAAGCTAAAAGTCTTCTTATATCTAAATAACATGTAGAGTGTATGTTATTTAAAGTTAATAATATGATAGAAATTTAATTCTTTTAATATAATATTAAATTTGACTTATCTATTAAACTAACAAAAAAATGTTCAATATGCTTTAAAATCTAAAAGAGGTATGCGGACACCATCTCTTCTCTTTTTTTTCTTTATAACCTGATTATCATACATCTTGGAATATCCCAAACCTAGAATTTAAGCTCGGGATGGCATAAATTAATTTTTTTTATTTTTTTTATAGATATTTACATTTTGGATGTTTTTGAAAATAATTTCAAAAGAAATGAGACAAACTAGAAATAAATGAGAACTCATTTGAAAAGAAAAATTGAGAACAGGGATCAAAGTGCAAAAATGAGAAAAGTGGCTACGTAGAACGACCACGTCAGCAACACGACCAATCGCCGTGTGCCACATGGCAAAGACAGCAGCATGCATTCCGTGCGAGAGGCCATGCAGGCAATTTGTGTGCCA